TGTGGTCACTTAACTGATTGTCTTTTCTGAACTATGCACACAAAACACATAAAACAAAAAAAATGAAAAAAAATCTTTTTCTCAAATACCTATACTTTTATCTGAGCGTGGACACGTGGCGATTATCATGTTTTAATTGGGTGCACACATGACTTGGTTGGCAGTGAGAATACATTTAAGTGTTCTTCGGAGAAATTGATCCTGATCTGTTGAGTTATGGTCCTGCTCAAAAGGGGCTTCACATCAATGGTAACGATAAAGATTTTCGAACCTTTAAAATGGGAATTTCAGAAGGGGAATAGACGGCTTATCCTAAACATAGTGACTAAAATACGTAATCTTATAATGAAATCTATCACTACATGGAGAGGTTGATGTAAGTCCAGAAAAGTTGTGTTAATGCAAGAACAGATATATCTGCGGCATTTCACAGAGGCGCATTTTATGAAAGCGAGCCATCATCCTCCAGAACCCTCAACAAAATTGCTGCAGTGTTCTACCAACTGAGCTATGAAGACACCCATACTTTAGCAGCAAGCCAATTTTTTTACTTCTTTTTTTAATTCGTGAGGGGAATGAAACATGAAATAAAGATAATGTGAACTGTAGAAATACAAGATATGATCGTCACAGTTGTAATAGCATACTAAGCAATTGTAAATTAACCCAAATAAATCTCAGGAGCTGTAATGCGATTCCGCCACTGTTTTGATTGTGGTCTTGAATCCCGATCCAGTCTCTTCGTCAATATGAAATTTAACGGAAAATTAACGTTTGCCTTGGCAGGTGTGGGTGAACGTTATGTTTGATGTTTTTGCACGCAATTGCAATTGCAATTACTGTGTATTGCCATTGTTATTTAGGAAAATATATATCTCCAAGCAATTAATAGTCAGAACCTGTACGTAGCCAAAAATAATGTCTATCGTCTGTGGATCCAAACAGCTGCAAATACAAATGTCATTACAACTTACAAAATTTGCAATGAAGAGAGGTCTGCAAAAATTCCATGCGGGATTTCCTCGATCATGCTGTTGGACAATTTCCTACAGCAAACCAAAAATCGTAACCTACATTAATGTGTACATGTCTCCTTATTTTTGGTTTTGAAACAAAAAAAGTATTTATTTTAACAAAAAAACAGTGCATTCTTTTAAATTTTTTAATTCAAACTAAATCAAAATGGTCAATCTGTACAAAACAATAGGCCATTTGCATGATGGCGTCATTTCACTACTATGACAAGGCTCCTTCAGGGTTTTGCTTTTTTGTGCAAATTAGGGCCTTTGTTATTTAAACCTTACTGGGGCTACCAAATTTAAATATGAAAAGAAAACCGACAAGAATTCTCGTCGTAGTAGTAAAACGACGCCATCGTGCAAACGGCCTATTCGCAGTATGAAGGCGTTCTATGGACTTGAAAAAGGCCGTAAGGCCCGCGGGGACGGTGCAGGCATTATCATTTCAATCCCTTTTGACAAAGTTAGTCTTTCAATGACTACAAGGAAGCCTGCCAAACATTGTGCTGCACGTTCAGAATTTTTTGTTGTGTTTATTTTCTCTTTTTTGTTGTGGTTGAGTTGAGCTTGGTAGTTACGCTACAATGGTAAACAATTCTTGATATGCGACGATTTCGCCTGAAAAGCCTATTTCCGCAGGTACCCGTACACAGGCTCAACCCTTGTGTCAAATTGAAAGGAATTTCTGGCAGATATTCTATCATTTGAACTGGACGGTTAATTCGAGACTTCAATAAACTTGGGTAGACTAAAAACCTTAAAGAGAATCGGTGTGGAAACTTGCCTACCAAAAGCACGGCTTCGTAGTTTCAGGTCAGCGGTCTCACCTCCCAATGTCTACTGTAATATAGTATGTTTTGTGCTTCGACCTTCTTTCGTGTGTGTTCTGTTTTTTCGGAAAACACTTTATACTGTTAAGGTGGCTCGATACAGTTTTTCAAGGTCAATACCTCCCAAGTTTGAGCGTAAACATCGTCGCCATAAACAAGGATTTGGAAAAATTGACACCACAGTTGTATTAGATAAAGAAGAAAATTGGTTATAATCACGGTTGCAATGACATCGGAGTTGTCATAGCAACGAAATGACGCAATTACCTATTTTACTTGCAGCAGTATTTCTCGGCACTGGGAACTGTTCTTCCAAAATCGTTTACTGGAGCTTTTACCTACGATAGCTGCCTCGATGTTCGTGAAGTTTAAGCGAAATCTGTAAGAGCGTTATCGAGATATTCTGGGATGAAGTTTTTCTGGTTAGAAATACGGTAAAAAATTGACAATCTTGATGTTGGACTGTTATCTGTACAAAACGAAGCGCTTTTGACGTGCAATTTCACCTCATAGTAGTTTCAATCTTTTTAAAAGCGTGTGTGAAAGATCATGGACATACCTCCAGCCGATTGCTAGAAAGGAGGATTTGATTAGTATGTATGAAGGCGCTCTTGGTAGCGGTAATGTAAACATTTCAGTCTACTTTAACAAATTAGCGAATAATTTTTAAACCGCTCGATAAATTTTTTAGAAAATTTAAGAGTCTTAAGATTAACCCACCTTTTATATGACCTCTTAGTTTCAAGATTATTGATATATTGTAAGGCAGTAAAATAAGGGCTTGAATTCGCTAACATTTTGTCAGAAATTTTGTGTTTACAAGTGAAAGCCTCTCATTATTCAGGGCTATTGTCTCCAAGTTTCATATTTTCGTGCACAACAATAGCTAGCAGTTTTGCATATGTCAAATGCATTGTTAGTTACTGCTGTTCACGTGAAAATGAAACTTTGAGACAATACCCCTGAATAATAAGAGGCTCTCACTTGTAAAGACAAAATTTCTGACAAAATATTAGCGAATTGTAGCCCTTATTTTACTACCTTACAATATATCAATAATCTTGAAACTAAGAGGTCAAATAAAAGGACGGTTTATCTCAACACTTGTAAATTTTTTAGAAAATTTATTCAGCGGTTTAAAATTATTCGCTAATTTGTTAAAGTAGACTGAAATGTTTACATTACGGCTAACAAGAGCCCCCGATACGTACTAATCAAATCCTTCTTTTCTAGCAATCCGCTGAAGGTATCTCCATGATCTTTCACACACGTTTTTAAAAAGATTGAAACTACTATGAGGTGAAATTGCATGTCAAAAGCGCTTCGTTTAGTACAGATAACAGTCCAACATCAAGATTGTCAATTTTTACCGTATTTCTAACCAGAAAAACTTCATCCCAGAATATCTCGATAACGCTCTTACAGATTTCGCTTAAACTTCACGAACATCGAGGCAGCTATCGTAGGTAAAAGCTCCAGTAAACGATTTTGGAAGAACAGTTCCCAGTGCCGAGAAATACTGCTGCAAGTAAAATAGGTAATGGCGTCATTTCGTTGCTATGACAACTCCGATGTCATTGTAACCCTGATCATAACAAATTTTCATCTTTATCTAACACAACTGTGGTGTTAATTTTTCCAAATCTTTGTTTATGGCGTCGTAGTTTACGCTCAAACTTGGGAGGTATTGACCCTGACAAACTCTATCGAGCCACCTTAAGGAAGTAGTGCATCGGTTTCTACTGCCCTTAGCTACAACCAGACTGACCATGGTCAACCTCATTGTCACACCGTTATTGTTGATCATGGTTATCCTTTGGTTGCATAATTGCCACACGACGGGTTTCCATAGTTGACAACCATGATTATTCACATTCTGCGGATGTAGAATGATGGGGGTTTATATTATTTGTTAAACTAGAAATACGTTACCGCAAAAATCTCGAGAAGATGTAAAGGGTCCGCAATGAGAATACAGGGAAACAGGGCAAAGGGCAAAAATATGTCGGAAAAAGATAAATAAACAGAAAAAATGTATAAAGAAAACGCAATTAATAAGTAACTACCCCGAGATTCGAAACTACACTATAATTGTCCTAGTGCGTGGAGTCAGCTCCCAGACCACTGGGCCTTGCTGCCACTGGACAATTCTTACCGTACGACTAATATACTAAAAGCCTTCGTCTCTGCCATACACGCTGTTTGAAGCTTGTGGAGTTGTATTTATCATAAATTCGAGGAGATATTGAGGAAAATTAGCTTAAGCGAGTATTTCAAAGCCATTTCGCTTTATTTCCACGTTTATTCAATCTCGGGCTTAACGGCCGCTCGATATACGAGCTCGTCTTCTTCATTGCTCGCGCTGGATTTCAAGTCCCGTTCTCGCTGCAGTGGAGTTTCAATGGTAAATCTTCCCCAGCAAGGATTCCCAGCCAATTGTTGAATGTAACGTTGTCTTGTGCCTGCCGTTGTCTTTCAATTGCGTGAGAAATTGATCGCGATTCACCGATAGTAAACACTGTTTGACAGATGATGAATAAAGACATCAGCCTTTCATAAATAAAACGTGATAGTACACCACATATTTTGAAGTCGTGTTGAAAATGCACCTTGACATCACACTGGATGCGGAAACCCTAGAGATATATAACAATTATTCACCGAAGTGGAGGTGGCTAGTATTGGATATTTACTGATGCCGCGAAAGCGGCGAGGTAAATATCCAATACTAGCCACCTCCACTTCGGTGAATAATTGTTATTTAGTATATGCTAAAACAGTGAGATAATAAGCCTAAAATGATCTCAAATGACGATTTTTAACTCGTTTATTTACAACTTTGGCGCGCAAATTAAACAAACATGCGCGCAGCTCAAAATAGTCACATGACACATCTGATGATGAAATGTTCATAATTTTGTGTTTAAGACTTTACAACCGTAAATGAAAGATCAAGCTATGCGAAAGGAAAAGTCCTGGCTTTACGCCATCTTTGTAGATTGTTCTTTTCGTTGTCTGTTACAAGTTTTATTTGCTGCTGCTTCCTCCAAAGCTCACCTTAAAGTTGAGATTACAGTTATGGAACGTGGCTCCGGGAATGAAGCCATGGGCAAGATTCTGTGATCCATCTTGAATGGACTGGAAGGAATAATTAATTTGCAGTGCTCGTAGCTACTGATTGCGGCTGGCTCAATGACGACGCAACGGTTTTCTGAGGGACTGTAACAGCCTTGTCATCGCCACCAGCTGGATCGAAGAATTCACTTAGCTCGTTTGACATTCTTTTAAACTGCTCGAATGTCGGCGTATCACAATAGCTCTTGATGCTTTCTTCACTTTGGTGGCCGGTTATTGCCCTGATGTACCGACTCTCGATGTTTGCAGCCGACAAAACCGTCACAGTGGTCGCTCTGATCGAGTGGTTTGTTAGATGTGGCTTTATTCCAGCTCTTGATGTCATTCTTCGTAGCATATTTTCAAGCGTGTTGTGGCCAAGTGGACTCGAGCAGTACCACACAAGATCCGTTGCTGGGTTAAACGCTTTGCACGAGCTTCTTGGTTTCTGGAATAAACTGCTGCATTTGGGACTCAGATGTGACAGGTATTTCCCGATGAGTTTCACTGGGCAGCGTTTTGAGCCTGGTCTTTCAAATATTTTTACGTTTGACTCATCTTCTTTATCATCTAGGCCACCTTGATGGTTTTTAGTCGTCAACCCTGCTCCGCGCTCTTTGTTTATTTCCAGATATTTTTCACCATTTGCCGCTTCCCTTGAGATAAGCATGTGTTTCTTAAGCAGGTGCTGGTTTTCTCGACCTCTCTTTCCGAGGAATAAACTGATGAAGAACCAGGCCGTCTGCTGTACTTTGTGTGGTTGGAGAGAATCGATGTCAACAAGCTCGCCTTCTTCGTAAAGTTTCTCAACAATTTCCTTTGTTAGGGCTTGTTTGTGCACTGTCGGAGCTATTTGGCCACTTTTGCTCAGAGTTTTCAGAAAATTGCTGAGGGGTTTATTGGCTTCATTAAAATGACTGTCGCCAGCAATGGAAAATGGCTTTGAAAACGGAGGACTTTTTAAGTGACGATCTAACGCGGCTCGGATTGCGATAAGCGACTTTTTTTTGTAGTAACTGCCGTCACGTTTTCGTGTGGACAAGTAAAATTTTTGGAGGCATTTGTTAAGCTGAATTGGTGACATCTCCTCAAAGGGAGTTTTGAACTCTTCTTGCATCTGAAACCATTCTGCAAAAAAGTAAGCTTATTTATAAACATGTCAGCTAACATTAAGTAACGAAAGAATAATTTGCATTTGTAAACAAAAAACTTTTTCACCGGTTTCATCGATAGAATTCAGGTTAAACAGACAAAGCTTTACATGTGAAAACTGCTAGACCGAATTTAGTCGCTTTTTTAGTGTTGTCTGGTATGGCCTCTTCATTTATTTTCGAAATTTCGTCGCTAGTTAACGTGGCAAACCGAGACTGAGCCATTTTTGTCGCACATGTAACTTGCAAGAGTTTGGCGCCGCTCGGCTGGAGGCGAATCAGTGAATAGTGCAGGATATTCCGAGATTGAGCAGCCAATCAGAGCGCGCGAAAAACACTATCCACTGTTTTAGCATATACTAAATAGAAATATTGCCAACTCGAGTTTCTGCGTCGCTGTGCGATACACGCGATACACGGCGCGACAAATTTATAGGCCGCTCGCTTCGCGAGGAATAATCATATAATCACAAAGATTCTGTGATTCAAAATCAGGTTGAGCTCGTATAAACTTGTAGACTTGCCTGGGTGAAAAAACCCTCATCGACCAAAGGTATACTTCTTTAATGATGAAAGTAATAATGTTCGTTTTAGTTCATATGTAATTTTTTTTATTTTGATTAATTGAAACTTCAGGAGGCTTTTTTCAAAGCTAACGATTTTTAGGGCGTTCACTTTGAAACGTTTTGTGCATGATTCACTGCTCCTGAGCATTTTTATTAAAATCAAAAGTTAAAGAGTCCTCGAGCCCGGAAATTCACTTACAAATTAGTAGTTGTTGTTGGTATACACTTCCAAATATATGTAGCATTGCCTCCACTGCAGTCATGATGGTTGGTAACTTGCCCAGAACCATTTAAAAGACCCTTGCTTTGACATAAATGCGTGCAATCTGCGAAATCAATGCATCTTTTCTCAGGTAACAGATGACAAGTGAAAAGCGGATGAGACAACTGCAAGAGTAGATTTCTAAACAAAATGTGTTCATAAAGTTACGCTATAAACTTGACAACTACTATATTGTAAAAATACACCCTCGGTGCGTTCAAAAGCAACACAGTTGACTCGTTTCATTGGGAAAGACGCTGAATATGAGCAAAAAATATCACAGTTATCACAGTTTGGTATTAAAATATGGTTCGACATATTATCATGTTAACTTTGAGACAAAAACCTTACCAATAACGTTAACGTCAACCTTTTTGGAACTATTTCCTGCATCACTTTTTGCCAGAATTGTATAGTTTCCAGTCTGAACGAATTTAAGTCGTTTCACCACTGGCCCACCCTCCAAAGGTGTAGATGAGTTGGCTAACCAAGCTTGAATGGGTGGAGTGCCTTCCAGCATGAACCAGGTATAATGCTCTGGTACACTGCGTACTACTGACAACGGAATCCTTATCTTCGGCTTCTCTATAAATTGAAATAAGCAATGCTTGTCTTAATGGCTAGGAAAATTATGCTTTTCGCTGTAAAATGAGTGACTGATTTTTGGAGACATCCGTTGTGCTATAAAATAATTTACAAGGAACATGGGCAAACTCATTAGGTCTTGCCTTCGAAAAAGAATTATTACGGAGACCGCGTGAGATACTTAAAGCTGTTTAGGGGGTAACCCTGCGGTGGACTGACAACCTGTCCAGGGAGGAAGTGGTAATAGACCTTTTTACCGATACGGCGGCCATATTGAATTAATTCGATTTAAGGGGTATTATAGGATGCCCAGGGGGCATGAGCACATTTTGTTTGTATTTTCGAGCGCTTTTCGGGACGTTTTATCTTAGATTGCCTTTTTCTAGTTTAGTATTAGTAATATGGTCTTTCACTGTATATTTCTCGGGAAAAAGGCGATCATTATTACATCCTAACACGGCACAAGGATCTTTTTCCCATTAGAATCTTATTCTAAGAAGACTTAAAATAAGGAAAAATGTCCCGAAAAGCGGTCGAAAATACAAACGAAATGTGCTCATGCCCCTGGGCATCCTATAATACTCCTTAAATCGAATTAATTCAATATGGCCGCCGTATCGGTAAAAAGGTCTATTCTCCATTTTCACATAGCCCATAATGCACCTCGTTTACCAGCCAAATTTTTGCATAACTATTTTTCCCTATTTCTCCTCGGTGAATACAGTTGTCCCAAGAGAAATCGAAGACAATGGTTATGCAAAATTTTGTGGGATAAACAAGGTGCAGTACGGTCTATGTGAAAATGGTGAATACTCCCAGCCATGCTTCATGATAAGGAAACCGGGATAAGCGCGGAAAATTATGTACAAATAAAATACTTTAAACGGTTGCCACGGCACTGGTCATAAAATACCCAAAAAGAATGAGGTGAAGAACACAAGAACGGTTCTTACATTGAGAGACAACAAACAAGTTTCTCTAACACGATAAAAGTCAGAACCAAAATATAGATTTAGTCAAGGCTAAAAGCGAAGCTTCCATTTATATACTTTTAATTACTTAAAACCAAAAAACGTAAAAAGAATAAGCTTCAACCTATAGGAAGATATCCAGAAATTTATACTTAACTGATTAACAAAAAAAGGAAAAAATATAAATCAAATCCGAATGCAGTAATAGTCTTGGAAAAAAATTCTTACCAATACGTCTGCATCACTAAACAGCTGCAAAACGTGTGACTAGAAAGGTTTCACGTTGTAGTCGTGGAACAAAAACGACAAAGAAATGTGCAAAAAAGTGCGTTCACGTGCAAAGGTTTTTGTTTTTTTGCTAATTAGACCTATTGTTGTTGTTGTTCTTGTTTGCGTTGTTCTTTTTTGCCTTTCTCAATTCCGTCGCCGCATTACACGATTTTGTTTGCATGTGAGTAAATTGTACGTATAAGTATAGTAACGAGAGATTCGCTTTTAGCCCTAGCTAAATCTATTTATTATTTTATAGTGCAGCAGCTCTGCAAAAACAGAATAAGTTTAAAACTTTAGTTTAATGAAATGCAAAAGAAGGCTTCAGTTGCCGTTAAGTAGTCTGTCGGCGAACAAAAGTTTTCTGAATAAGTTTGCCCGCATGAATTCAATTGTCATGTCAAACTGTTGACCAGGGTTGGGAGGGGAGACGCTAGTTTGTTCCTGGAGCGTGACCAAAAGCGTGACCAAGCAAAAAGCAAAGCCTTAGAAATTTCTTCCTGCAAAATTTTTTCGTCCGCCGAACACAAGAAAAATCAATCTACAATTTTTTACTCGAGCAAGCCCGTTGGTTGTTCCTAAAATGGTTGATTTTGCGCCACAACGAAACGCAAGATACACGTCTGGGTTTCCTTTTTCTACTCTCCAGAGTTTTTTTACCCCTACCTTAAGAGTCTATACGGACGGTCGGCGTTCAATCGTACGCTGCCGTCATAACCAAATTATCTCGGATCCATAGGTTTCCCCGATTTTCTTTAGCTCTAAGGCTTTGCGGCGCGCGCTTAGCGCACGTGGACGCGGACGGTCCACTACTTATTCTAGACCCCAGTGCTTACGCTTGTGACCTCGCGCGTAAGCTCTGGAAAACTCTGCGCCGCCGTAGCCAAAATCTGGCTATTTGGGCCTCACAGTGCATGCTCTTCTATCCAACTATTAGTTTTTAATAATAATAATAATAATAATGAGTCTTTATTTCATCAAAAGATAAAACTATATATCTTATGTTACAATAATACGGAAGATTAAAAACTATGATAAAAATATCTACATATATATATAATAAAAAAAAGTATGTCATTACAATAAATGGAGCTTAAAAATCAACCTATTTACAAAGGTGTTCATAAAACGCTGTGTCTTAATTTGCGGGCGTGCGCAGCCTTACCTCCATCGATCCATCGATCAAGTTCATCTTCGATAGTGCACGTTTAGGGTTGTTAAACTCCGCAAAATTTCTCGAAATAGCAGACGTCGCCCTTCGAGTTGTGTTCTTGCTTTTCTTGCTATGTTTTTAGCTATTTTTTCGCCTAGTTCTTACTCTTGAAACGAGTGAAATGTCCGCCATTTTTCAAGTTCACAACCAAAACAACTCAACCTCCTCCCCAGGTCTTCTCGGTTAACGGTGCATTAACCTGCAAAAACGCTGCATTTTTGACATCATATCGCCGCTAAACACAAAATTCTTCCAACTTTGTTCATCAGTAACTGGTTATGGTGAATCAAAGGTGTGCTTTTAGCCGATCAGAATCGGGGTAATATTTTGAATGAATAATAATGCAGCTTAAAGAATGTTAGCTTACACCTATGATACTCACGCGGCTGGACACATAAGTTTCTGGCAGGAAAACCGAATTTACTCAAAAGACATCTCCCGCGGTTGTTTCATCAGGTTAAAAAAAAGAAAGTCAAAATACCTAATTCAGCATAAAACCGTTAATTACACTTCAACTTTTACACCATAAAAAATCACCTTACCATGAAGGGTAATTTTCTCGCCTTTCTGTCTCGCGCCCTCACTCACACGCGCGGCCATTTCATGCTGTCGCGCGTTTTGCTAAACAGACTAAAAAAGGAGGCTAGTAGTCTAGTAGTCTTGGCCTTGATAACCGAAATTATAAGTTGATCATACCCGGATGTTGACAAGTCGATACTTCGATTATCTCGAAAAATAGTAGGGTTTTTTTTTTAGTCAGGATTAAAAGCTTTACATTTAAGTAGTCTACTAGGTTGTTTCTACGCCTGTTTGGTGCCTAGCCAGTGCCTAAGCAAGTGCGTAGTCATTGCCTAATCCTCCATACTAATTAAGTGCCTAGTCATTGCCTTTCTGCATACTTATGATGCATGTGCCTAGTCGGTGTCTAGCTAGCTAGGTAAAAATGCGTTCCTCCATACTAATAACTGTCTTCCTGTATACTAATTCGGTATAGGTTTACTAATGAGTGTCTCTCTACTACAATACACACATACTTGCCCGGTAAGTAACTTTAGTGCGGTTGGCCGGAACGTCCATACATACATACGTCGAAGAGTCA